ACTCTGGCAACCCCCCTCCCCCCCAAAAAAAATCCTTCATCTTTTCTCTCTTTTTTTAAAAACTGGAGATTGAAAAGTTCTGATCCATCCTAGGAGTGGGTTGGACTAGAAGACCTCCAAGGTCCCTTCCAGGCTAATTATGATTCTCATTCTAGGAAGACTGAGATGATATAAGGACCCCTGCTTGGGGCAAAGGGTTGGACTAGAAGACCTCCAAGGTCCCTTCCGGGCTAATTATGCCTACGGGAAATGGTTCTGCCCTATATCAGATTCATTTTGTCCCCGATTTCTGACCGCCCGAAGACATTCTTCTCTCTGACGCCTTTTCAAACGGAGGATAAACATTTATGTTAAGAGCCACCGTTGGTTCCTAAGAAAGAAGGGTAAGTGGTACTTGCTGGAAGGAGCTAATAAACCAGGAATGACAGTTGGCTTCCCGCAAAACTTTCCACCTGTTTAGTAACCGATCTTGCACTTGCTTTGTTATTTTAAGCCCTGTCATGTTTTCCCTCCCCAGCTCAGCCCACCAAAAACAGCCCCTTCCAAGGCTTGGAAAAGACCGGAGAATCGCAGGGAAAACTGCCCCGGAATTGTTTCACAGTGGCTTTTCACGCTGGTGGAGCTAATTTCTTCCTCTGCCCCGTCCTTCAAAATCCCTTCCTTGGAGAAGCTCTGGGGAAAGGCGACGGGTGGCCTTTGGCTCTGAAGTCCGCTATCTGTGCAGAAGAGGAAGTTTTAATCTGTATCTTCCCGATTGCCAAAGCAAGACTTTGGAACTGGGTTATCTGGTCAGAGTCCTTTGCGTTTCTTTGGAAGATTGGAAGTTCTGAGACTTTAAGCCTTGGGACTCTGGATTTTTCCGGTTTAGCGTTAATTCTAGGCTCTCCTTGTGGGTTCCGTTTGTGCAATTGGTGTGCCTCTGCTGCTATTGCAGATCGATTGCTGTTTGGACAGTCTATACCCACTTCTCATCCCCGTTTCTTTCCGTTAAAAGTCTGCGGAGATTCTCAGGCCTCCGTCAGAAGGCAGGACTCTACTCTTATTCCATTCCATTCCATTCCATTCCATTCCATTCCATTCCATTCCATTCCATTCCATTCCATTCCTTATTCTATGCTATGCTATGCTATTCTATTCGAAACAATAAATAAAAGAAAAAGAAAGATATAGAGCCGCATTTGCCTGATCGCAGCCACCCGTTTAATGGTTGAGCCCACCCACTCCTGTGGATGCTTACGATGACCCTCGCTGCATCCGGAAGACCGACTGAAGGATCGGGGCCAGTTTCTGCCAACCACAGTGGGCCTTCCCTCTAAGAAAGCTGCTGCTCTGCCAACTCTTTCAATCAACCATTAAATCCTGCCGGGCTCAAACAAACCACGTTTAGGAATAACCGCGACTCCCGTCTGCTGGGGGAGCATTTTGCGTGGTGTTCGCACAGCCGGCTTAACCTGGGTGGGTCAAATCTCAGCTGCTGCCACCTTCCTGGTCCTCTGAGTTAGTTACAGGAGTTTGGAAGCTTGGGGGGTGGGGCAGAAATCAGATCCTTTAGAAGCCCACCCAGTTGGGACCCTCAGCTCCGGCGGCCTAGAGGTGCAGCTCTCGCCTCACAATCAGGAGGCTGTGAGTTTGATCCTAGGTAGAGGCGGACATTTGGAATAGACTGGATGGACTAGATGACCTCCAAGGTCCCTCCCAACTCTGTTAATTCTATGATTCAAGCCAATGCAGGATTTCAATCCGGCGAGACGAAGCCGGTCACGCCTGCTCCTCTTTTTCCACTGACCTTTGCCTGTGGTCATCATCCAGGCAAAAGTCTGGTTGGCATAGCATCCTGGGCTGGGTTGGGCTCCCGGCCGGCATCCTGGCCAGCGAGGTGGCAGCCTCTGGGTGGACCAGGACTCTCCACCGCCAAGACGTCATGGCGGGGGTCTGGGGTGGGCTCCCCTGGACAAGGCCCAGAGCTGAGCAGCTGCCCCGAGGTGGCGTCTTTCCACCCACGGAGGGGCTCTGAGGCTCAATGCCAGCTGCCCCAGCCAAGCCCCTTGGGGTTCACCCACAGCCTGCCAAAAGCCCCGGGAGGTTTTAACCGGGACTGGGGTGTGAGGACAACCACGGACCTCTGCCTTTTTGGACAGAGCAGGATCGTGGCCCCCGCAGGAGGCCACATTCTGGGGGAGGGCTGGGGGCTTACCTCTCCATCACTCACCATCGCTGCCAGGAGGGAGGGGCGGGAGCTGAAGGAGGTCGCCCCTCTCTCCAAATGGCTCCATTGAAGGTTCAGGGAGGAGGAGGAGGAGGAGGAGGAGGAGAGGCTGCTGCCCAGCTGCCACTTTGCCAAAATGATCCCTCGGAGCAGGAGCGGCTCCTTGTCTTCTGGCGCCACCGTGCGGCCGAGCAAGGAAAGCCGGAGAGGACATGAATGGGCTTTCCTTGCAACGCTCAAGCGGGGGGGCGGGGGGGGGAAGAGCCTTACGGTCTGGGGTCTGCAACGCCCGGCCTTTTGTGCGGTGGGGAAAGGAACATTTACATGCCTCTCCTTTGCCTGGGGCGCCTGGGTGTGAGTGTGTGTGTGTGTGTGAATAATTATTGGTTTTTATATGTCTTACTTCAGAGAGAGCGAGAATCTATAGATAACATGGAAGGATAAAGATGGATGGATAGTAAAATGGAGAGACAGAGATGGGTGACATTCAGATGGACAGTTGGGAGGACAGATAGAGATAGATAGATAGATAGATAGATAGATAGATAGATAGATAGATAGATAGACAGACAGACAGACAGACAGTTGGTTAGAGGAGGGGAGAGAGAGAGAGAAAGACAGGCAGACAGAAAGACAGACAATGATGAATAGATAATGATGGATGGATGGATGGACAGACAGACACAGACAGAAAGATAATAATGATGGATGGAGGGATGGAAAAATGGAGAGATGGATGAAAAGTCAAGCAGGCAGATGGATGGGAGAATGGACTGATAAGAGAGGGAGGCAGACAGACAAACATAGATAGACTGATTGACAGTAAAGTTGAGAAGAGAAAGACGAGAAAGATGAAGGTACAGAGAGAGAGTAAGGAGATAATGGGGAGAAACAGACGACCTCATTCAACGTCGGCTTCAAATGTGGATCCAACCCTGATGCCTCCTACGCATTTACTCCACTCAGAAAAAGCAGCTTTTAAAAATCACAGTTGTGGGATTAAGGACAGCCACATTATTCACTTCTTTTCACCTTGAAAACACCCTCCGTCACTTGGGTGAGCGTGAAAAATTCACCGGCTTTGCCAATAAACGGGACTCCGCCTGATGCATTGAAGCCTTGGCCAGAATCGTCAACACTCAAGAACAGGAGAATAAATCAACGCAGCCCCAGCAGCAGAGAAGCCATAAAGTTTTTTCAAAGTGTTCCCTTTTAAAATAATTATCTCAGCGAGAGGGGCTTTCAAACCTACCCAGGGAAGAAAAGAGATGCTGCTGGACTGCAAAAGGCTCATTTGGGGAAGACGGGGGACCATAGCAGTTACTGCTCATTCAGAAACTCATAACTTTGATTATTTTCCTAGTCTTTTCGAATGGCTTAATAACAGAGCCGATTAAACATGGCTTAATAACAGAGTTGGAATGGGTCTTGGAGGTCCTCTAGTCCAACCCCCTTCTCAAGCAGGAGAATCATTAGGTATTTCTCACAGTTCTGGAATTTCTTAACGAAATACCCATCGAAGTAAGAATGAGCAAGTCGCCAATGGCAGCTGTGGCTGTACATCGTTTATTTGGGATTAAATTCCAGGGCACAATTCCACAATTCCCCTTTTCTAGACATCTGTTGGGGTTTTTTTTTCCCTCCCGGTTTGTATTTCTGGCATGTGCTGACAGTGGAAATCCACTTGGTTGACTGGCATCTGTCAACACTTTATTCTCCTGGCTTCAAGCTTCTCTCGCCCTTTCAGGGGTCCTTGCGGGGAGGCCTCTTCTGGCAGGCCCTTTCCAGGAGGACGTGAGCCAAGAAGGGGTGGAGGGACAATCTCGCAAGCTGAAGATGTGCCTGTGACGAAAGGCCTCCTCAGAGAGTTCATGATCCTACTTGGGCGAAGTAGAGTCACCACTTGGGCAAAGCGCCCAACCTATGCCACTTGCCAGCTTTATTCTTTAGAAAAAGAGAAAAGTTTCTTGCTTTGTCAATAAAGCAGGTCTGGTAAGCAAAGAGCGATGCCGATGAGGAGGCAACATCTAGCCAACCTTGGCTGATCTCAACCAAGTCAGCAGAGCTGAGCTAGTTAGTGCTTGGGAGATCTTCCTTGGGGGCCACGGTGGTGGGGTTTGTTGTGGCCCACCGCTGGCTGGCGGAGCTGGCAGCAGAGCTGGATAGTAGTGAGGAGGTTGGGGAGGCCCTTGGGCCTGGCCTGGAGGCTGAGGAGGGCTCGGACGAGGGCTCTGCATCGGAGGCAGGGATGGGGCCAGGACAGGCTGGCAGTCACCAGCTGCCTTTGGGCTGAGACAGCGGTGAGGCGGAGGAGCTTCTGGAACTGCTACCCAGCCTGCGCACGCTCAGAGCTGCCACAGGTGGACGGTGAATGGTCAGGATTAAAAGAGGAGCAAAAGGGGAGGGGGCTTTTGCAGGAATCATATCGCTCGTGTGTTTGGGTGTTTGGGTGTTCTAGCCTTGTGGAGATTTGCCTGTATAACCCAGCCCTTCCCTGCCAGCACCGAGTGTGGAATTATTTACTGGGCAGCGTTCCAGGATTGATAAAGATCTGAGCTCATTAGTATACCTTTGCAAGACTGTTTGCCAAGCCATTGGCTGACTGGGAATGAAATAAATTCACATTAATGTAATAAAGGAGGTTTTTGCCAGGACTCAGAATTGACTTTGTGCTTTTTGGGGTGGCCCAGGACAGAACAGGATATTAGACTGAGAAGTCGGAAGCTCCTAGAAGGAAGTCATAGCTACATTTTCCGATTGTCACCAAAAAAACCAACCAGGAACACGTCTAAAGAACTCGCCCTACCTAATCGGAATCTAGAACTAGTTCTCGTTCATCTTCTGATTATCTGCTCCAAGGAGACTTAAAGGATTCCGCATCTTCAGTGGCCATTTGGATCACGGTAACGCCTCCACCTGGGTGACGCCTCTTCATGTTGCCAAAACTTCTGCAACGGAAGCAATGAGGGGCAGTGTTAATTTCCAAAAGCTTGTTGTGTGTTGTTTCACATAACAGTGGTCAGTACATTGAAGATGGACATCTAGAACTCACATAGGTACCAATAGACAAGAATATTGGTAGCTCGGGGTTGGACTGTGGGGTCTTTGGGGCTCTCTGAGCTTGGTGGTTTTCTTGCAGACGTTACATTACCCAGCTAGGGAACATCATCAGCGCTTAGAAGAGAGTGGGTTTGCTCTCTCCGCCTTATCGCTCTGAAGATGCTACCTAGATGGGTAGGTCGTAAAACGGTCATAAAATCTGGCACAATTGCCTTGCTTAGCGAAATAAATGTTGGTTCCGATTGTGGTTCTAAGCCGAGGACCACCTGTAGGGGAGATGAACGATCTTTCTCCCTTTCTATTGGATTTGTTTCCCAGTTTTTCTAACTCATCCCCAACCTGCAGGCTCTGGATGATGAGCAACAGAGCAAAAAATAACAGAATGAGAAGGTGCCGTTCAGAAAACACACACACACACACACAGAACCACCCCGATGAAGCATCTCCGCAAAGGGATACCAAGACTACCTCCACGCATTGAGGTCCAGATCGAAGGCTTCCACCGTCGAAACGTGAACGATGCCGTCGTAGCCCCCGATGGCCAGCAGTTGCCCGTGGACAGCAGCGAGGCTAACCTGCAGACCAACCAGTGGGGAAGAGGTGGGAGTGATTTCTATGTCAGCCTGATTTATCCTCTTTTCTCTGGGCCAGGAGACGGACTGCGGAGGAAAATTTGCTCGTCTGCCCAGTCCATAAAGACAAAAAGGTCCCCCCCAAATGGGGAAACGAACTAGAACTGCTCCGAGTCGCTTAGAACTGCGAGATGAACAGCAAATAAATTGGATAATATGGATCATAGCAACAGTTGGAGTGGTGTGGTAGTCTAGAGGTACAGCTCTCGCCTCACAATCAAGAGGCTGTGAGTTCGATTCTGGGTAGAGGCAGATATTTCTCTCTCTGGGCACGTTGAGAATATATCCACTAAACAAAACTCCGCATTGGTGACAGGAAGGGCACCCAGCCAGTAAACACTCTGCTGGCTCCATTCCCAGGCTCCACCCCGCAAGGGATTACTGGGTCGTTAAAAGATGATGATGATAATGATAACAAGTTAAAAATCATAGATTTCTCTTTGTGTTCGGTCGTTCCATTGTCTGTCCGTTTCCTGCCTGGACCCGGCTCTCCTTACCTGGCTCCTTTTGGACCTCATGGGCCTCACAGGCGTCCAGCGGTTGATGAGGGGATCAAAGCGCTCAGCGGTGCAGAGTTCGGTCAGCTCGTCCTGCCCACCGACGGCATAGATCTTGCCTTGCAACGCAACGCAACCCAGGTTTTCACGACAGCTGCGGAGCGGAGGGCAAGCGGCCCACTGGTCCTCGGTGGGATTGTAGCGCTCGACTGAAAGAGGAAGGGGTTTTGAAGAGCCTTGGCGTCGGATTGTGTCAAAAGATGCCAAGTTAGCACATTAAATTGTTTCCAAAGCGGAAAGGGACCGTTTGTGTCCTAAAAGGTAAGCGTTATGTGTAAAAGAGCCTGAAAGGACTAGCCTGCTTTTAAACAGGAAAAGCGGGTGGTATAGACTCCTATTAAATGAATAACAGAGTTGGAAGGGGCCTTAGAGGTCTCCTAGTCCAACCCCCTGCTCAAGCAGGAGAGCCTATACCCTTCTGGACAAATGGTTGTCCAAGCTCTTCTTAAAAAACCTCCACAGCTTCTGAAGGCAAATCATCAATTGCGGTTAACTGTTCCAACTGTCAGGAAATTCCTCCTTAGTTCTAGGTTGCTTCCCTCCTTGGTTAGTTTCCACCCAGGGCTTCTTGTTCTGCCTTCTGAAGGTGCTTTGGAGAATAGCTTGACTCCCTCTTCTTTGGGGCTCAAATGTGGGAAGGCTACTATCATGCCCCCACCCCTAGTCGTCTCTGCATTAAACTAGACATGTTTGATGAAATTCCTGCAACCGTTCTTCCTATGTTTTAGCCTCCAATCCCCTAATCATCTTTGTGGCTCTTTCCTGCACTCTTTCTAGAGTCTCAACATCCTTTTTTACATCGTGATGAGCAAAACTGGATGCAGTATGGTTTTACCCAGGGATTATAAAGTGGTATTAACACTAAAGTGGTATTGAATGTTGGAGATGAAATTCAGAAGGAAGAGGATTAACTCAGCTGTTACGTTCCTGGTCTACGATTTCCATAATTGTGAGTTGAATTCAATAACACAATTAATAAAACCAGATCAATTGCTGTTTGTCACATATTGACTCATATGTTCCTCTTGGCTATGTCTGGAGTCTCTGGGATCAATAATTTTCTATTTCGAATTGATACCCATTCATGCGTCAAATTGAGGAATCAATTCACCACTTGAACCCAATTATCATTTTTTGCATTCTGCAGTTGGCTAAAACAGCTATTTGGCCACACTGGACTTCTATATAACTGGAGTTATTTGACTTTTTTTTTTCTGTTGAAGAGGCAAGGAAAATTACTTTCGAAACATATGAAGCTCAAATTATCCTGCAGTCATTCTGTCTATCAGGTCATTTTCCATACTTCTTTTTATCACCGCTTACCCTTTAAGTATCGCATTTATCTATTTTGACATTGTACAGCATTTGTGAATACAAGAGGAGGCGTATTTTTGTTAACTAATTGCCTGATCTAAGTTCATTAATTTAATATAATAATTACGCAGCCATGCACGCTCCTGCAAACCAAGCCTGATTAGGACTTGGAAAGCAATTTTTTCCATCCTTCAACACTCCCGGCCCACAGAATCCCATCAGTCAGAAGCTTGGATTTCAATTAACGTCACAGATACATATAATCATTCTCTATTTTTAATGTTTGCGTGAAGGGAACACAGAGAGAGAGAGGGAGGGAGGGAGAGAGAGAGAGAGATGCAAAGATACAGGAGACTATATAAAACACTTCCAAAACTATGTAACTAATTGGTTCCCAACCCACCAATTATTTTCACCCTTCTCTTTCCTGTCACAAATGCCAAAAACCCCCACAAAAAAGCAGGGAAATCGTTTCCTGTCATTTTTGAGACAGAAAATGCACTGTAGGACATCTTAGTCGATGCTGCACCGGCTACAGCTCAGAGAGAGAGAGAGAAACTGAAAAGTTGGAAAGTTTGAAAGAGAATTCAAGCAATGAAGGCGTGCGAGAACAAATGAATTGGTGAGACAATCTGCCTCCAGACGTTGGGGGTGCTTCAACCCTGGAGGTTTTTAAGAAGAGGTTGGCGAACCATTTCCCTGAAATGTTAGACAGCTTCTAAAGTCCCTTCCAATTCTCTTACTCTGCTCTAGCATAGAACAAGAACTGATTTCGGCTGCAGCCAGGCTATACCTGAGCATAAGGGAGAATACCCATCGGAGCCCCCAACAGCATACAAACATCCATCCAGTACGGCCAAGCCCAAGCCTTTCCGACGACGCATCATAGGTGCCAACTTCTGCCATCGGTCCAGAGCAGGGTCGTATCTGGAAGGAATTAGCCATGGTGAGAACGCAGGTGATTTTGCAAAACGGCAACTCAGGGGTAGAGTGTGCTTCTTCCAGGCGGTGCTGCTCAAGTCCTAGGCAGCCAGTCAAGAAGACCAAGAAACCCACAATTTTCAGTAAGGGACCTTCATGCTGAATACAGAATTGTCAGGCCCCGAGGACCAAGAACGACCCGTGGAATTGTTTCTGAGTAATTCCTTTGCCTGCCGACCGAATCTTGCCTAGCTAAAGCAACGATCTGCCGTGAACAATGGAAATCCTCCGTGAACTGCCAGGGAGTCGTTGCCCTCTTCCTGCCCCGCAGGCATTCCAGGTCCAGCCTCCCCCTCCCGGGACTCTGGACTGCCCTGCATACCCCAAGCCGCTTGGGAAGGGCAAGGAGAGTGACCGACTGGGGCTGCCCTGGAGCTGAGAGGACGTTCCTCACCTGGGCTGAGTTGCTGTTTTTGAGAGAATGGATTGAGAATACAGACTGGCTTTCTCTTGTTTGTATTCTTTTTTTCTCCTCCGCTTCTCCATATCTTCCTCCTCCTCTTCCTCCATTCATCCTTGACCCTCCTCCTTCTCCCCTTTCTCCATATCTTCTTTCTCCTTCTCTTCCTCCCTCCCTCTCTCTCTCCTATAAACCTCCCAAGATGATTGACTCCAGCCCCACCTCCCTCTAGATGGTACCTCAATCTGTTTTTATTTAACTGTGGGGGAGATCTTTGCGGGAGGTAAAACTCTATCAACTATAGATATTAGCTACTATAGCACGGCCTCAAGTCAGCATCACAACTGGGCTTACCTTTCTAATGTGCTGAGGCAAACCAGCCCATCAAAACCACCGGCACAATATAAGTAACCGCCGAGTTCCGCCATGGCTACATCTTGCTTGGGTTCACTCAGAGGGGCGACGTTTCTCTTCCACTCATTGATTTCGGGCACATACCTGGCAGGGAAGAAGAGAGTTGGAGGGCAGGTTCTGGGCGTGGGAGGAGGGCAAGTGTCCCCCCCACCCCACCCCGCTAGAAAGAGGAGGGGAAGACTCAGGAGGCTGCGAATTCAATCCCTGGTAAAGGCAGATATTTCTCTCTCTGGCACAACGAGAATGTATCTGCTGAACAAAACTCCGCATTGGTGACAGGAAGGGCATCTGGCCAATAAACAGTCAGCTCCATTCAGTAGCCCAGACTCCCCCCCCGGAAGGGATTATGGGGTCATTAAAAGAAGATGATAGGAAGAGGAGGGGAAGCTGACTCAAAGCAAGGACTTGTACAACACAATTGCAGAGTAAACATAAACTACAGGTAGCCCTTGACTAGTTCATTTGATGACTGTTCAAAGTTACACTGAAAAAAGGGACTTATGACCGTTTTTTTTAACACTTATGACCATTGCTGCATCCCAAGGACATGCGATCACCTTCTGACAAGCAAAGTCGACAGGGAAGCCAGATTCACTTAACAACCGGGTTGCTAACTTATCAACTGCGGTGATTCACTTAACAACAGTGGCAAGAAACGGGGCAGAACTTGCTCAGCCAAAGTTTCACTTAACCACTGTGGCCTTAAATGGAGCACTACCTGAACTCTTAATTTGAATTTTTGGCAGGGGAACAAGGCTAATCTTTCCACAAAGAGTTCCTATTTCCCAAGGTGGCTTCCAGCAGCCACGGGGGCTCAGAATTAACGCGACCCCTCTTTGAACCAAGATCATATTTAGCTGGCAGGCGAGCGAAGTCAGCCCCCAACAAACAGCCTTTACAGAATGAGCCGGAGACGTTGACTTGGGCTCGAGAGGGCAGTAATGGGACCCATCGAAGTAATCTGTCAGATCTAACAGGAACGACAAGGTGCAAAACAGGCCCCAGGGATGTGAGAACGAGAAGGAATTCTCCTTCGGGCGTCAATCAAGAAGCCCTTGTGAGCTGTGTGCCCTTTGCTGAGGGGAAGGCTGGCATGGGAAGGGCGGAAGGGCCAAGGAAGTCGGCTAGGAGTCCCAATGAGAAGAGAACAACCCAGGAAGGGAGGATCCCAGATTTCAATCGGGAATTTTAATTTGTTTTGGATTGGGTCGGTTCTTATTATTGCTCTTAAAATGATGTGTAGGTATGCATACATGTGTTGCGTTGTATTGTACTGTATTGTATTATGTTATATTGTTATGTTATGTTATTAACACAGTAACAGAGTGCGAAGGGACCTTGGAGGCCTTCTAGTCCGACCCACACCCACCCCTGCCTTGGCAGGAAACCTGGCCGGTCCCACCCCAGACCGATGGCTGCCCAATCTCTTCTTAGAAACTCCCAGCGTTGGAGCAATCACAACTTCTGGAGGCAAGGGGTTCCACAGGAAGGCCCCATCCCTGTCTGCCAAATTTTAAGAACTCGGCCCTCAAGGATGCCAACGGCATTCCTCAAGGCCATATAGCTCAGCCGACACAGACTTCCGCCTCTGTGCCTTCAGCCTCAATTCACAGCTTTGCCTAACCGATGGAAAATATTTGAACTTCAGGCGTTGAGTTCATTCCGAAGGCATTTTTCTCCCAAGCTCCCTGTTTGTGTGGCTTACTGGCAGCAGGACCTTAAGAAGAAGAAAATCACTGCTGGCCACTGATGATGGAAAGTCATTTTCCTTTAAGCCAGGCTAGAGAGCTGTCGGCCACCAGCTTTGAAAATGAAGAACAGAGCCTCTAAAAGAGAGAAAAACTTGTGCTTTGCACCTGTTTGGAAAGGAATCGTAGCTCCGGAGTATCAGAAGTGCTTGTGGTTTTCCTTTTTCTTTTTTAAGGAACAGGCGTCATTGTGCAATGAACTGGGCTTGTAAATAAGAGGCATCATAAAAATACCAACAGCATCTTAGTCATCTCGCAAGGAAAAGGAATGATGAAAAACATTTCTCAACAAGCTGGGAAAACGGCAAGTGACTCAAACAGTGGCGCCTCCACAGGCTCCGTAAAACCTGCGAGCACAACTGGGGTCGAGAACAGGGGGCTGAAATCCAGTCAAATTCAGACTGAAAAGGTAGGAGAGAAAAGCTACTCAGAAAAAAAGTAACCGGGACTGAAGGGGGAAAAAAAGAGAGAGCACCTCGCATTAGACACCCTCCCTGTTGGTCCTCCAGGATTTGCAAACCCCAACACAGTCTCCCGTTCCCCAACAGGAGCCAAGAAAAGTCGGGGGAGGATTCATTTATTTAATTCGATGCCGCCAACTCGAACGGCCCCCAACAAACACAGAGCAACATAAAACCCCAAAGATTTTAGAAAAGGGTGAGAACGGCTAGAAAAAGAGTGGACGAAGGCAGCCATCGACCATCCGCAGATGATCTTCCGTCGACACACCCGCTTACCTCTCAACGCTATTGAGGCACACCAGCCCATCGTGGCCGCCTGCTGCATAGATGGAGCCGTTGAGGGAAGCCACCCCAAGGCCACTCCGCTGCCTCCAGACCGAGCCCAGGATTTGCCACTCATGATCCAGGGGGTTGTAACGCTCCACCCCACCAGGGAGGCCCGTAGGGCTGACTCCCCCAACTGTGGATGAAAGCAGTGAATTTAGGCTGGCACGGATGTGCAAGGAGGGGAACCTTTACCTTTACCTTATTGTTTTTGATTTCCCTGTCTCACCTGACCTTTTTCCATTGATTTCCTGTCACTTTATAGGTTAAGTTGTTATCAATATCAATATCAATCTGCAAGCTGCTTGGATGAAGTATGAACCATAAATGCTTCAAAGGTTTAGTCTTTTGTAAACCAAAAAAGTATATATATCAAAACCTTGTTCTAAATGCTCCTGGATGGCCTTCTTCTCCACCCACCACCCACGAAAAGAGAACAGGGTCAGCTCCTCCCAGAGAGAAATACAGAAAAAGCCAATATACTTACTTGCATAAAGAATCTCTAAGGGACGTCCCCTGTTGAACGAAGTTGGCTTGGTTCTCCAACTAACCAGCTTCTGGTTTGGTTTGATTTGCTCCCTGCAGTAACCCAAGATTGAACCATCATTAACGTTATAGAAATGGTGATTATTGTCCTCCTCTAAGAAATCTTCCAAAGGAAAGTGAACTATTATGTTCTGAGATGTAAATGTTGCCTCTGCAAAGGGAACCTGATGTCAGAAGCAAGGAAATTCTGTGGATGCTGGATTCCACACCTCGTTCCCCGGATTCTTTGACTCAAGAGGGCACAACGAGCGGAGAACTATTTTAAAGAGATCTAAAAGGAGTTTTGATCATGCCCAAAGGAGTCTCCGCTTTACTAATTTTAGTCCTTTCTTGGAAGGGCCGTCCGATCCCATCTGCCTCGATGGGAAACTTCTCTACGAAGGGAGAACAGCAGCAGAGTTGGGGCTTGCTAAGCTCCAGGGAACAATATTTGAGCAGCCTTTTAATAGGATTTTGCCACTCAGCCTCACCATATATAAAAAAAAACCCACATTTTTAAAAATCTTGGCAGAGGGCAGCACCTGGCTAACATTGTTGGGCAAACTTGGCAAGTTTAAGACTTGTGGACTTTTATTCCCAGAATTCCTCCTCCTCCAGTCATGTTAGCTCAGGCATCCTAGGAGCTGAAGTCCACAAGCCTTAAACTTGCTAAGTTTGAAGACCCTTGTTGTTGGGTATGGAAGCAAACCAGGATTAGAGCTGGTTAGATGGGAGGCTCCGGGGCTGTGGGTTAGACCAAGAAGTCAAAAAGGTTCTTGAAAACTGGCAGATGTTCCCAGGCAAAAGACGCCTTTTACTTATATATTCAATTTGTATGCTGCCTATCTTCCCTAGAAGGTGACTCAGGGAGGGCAGATGCCTGTCATCACCAGCAGCTGATCGTACTTCGTATACTTTTTAAATATATATTTAAGACATTCACCATCTTAAACAGAAATTCTGCAAAGGAAGGCATAAATCGCGGGTTTTTCAGCCATGTCACTAAAACAACTTCCCATGGGCTGTTTTACATGGGCTGCCTACTTCTCAGGATTGTTGTGACGCTAAAAGAAATTCCGTTGCTCTGTGAGCTGGACTCGGGGGAGGGAAGGGGGTCACAGCAGCAGCTAAAAGGAAACCTTCGTAAACCGTCCCTCCAAATCCACCATCTTCAGGGGAAACGCCAATTGTACGCTTAGCTAAGAAAAATAACACCCACAAACAGTAGTTATTTAGATACACATCCCGTTGGCCATACTTAAAAAAAAAAAAAAACCACCCATGAAAATGAGGACTAGGAATGAACGGGTCTCCAAGCCAAGAAAGGAACGGAAGAAGCTTCTTGGGAGAGAAGGGAAATGTTTTCAAAGAAAAACCAAGGTTGCTTTTTGAAAAGAAACTTTGGGAAAGGGGCAGACCGGTTTTTCCAGTGTGCAAAGTGAGTTTGCTTACCCCCTTTCTTCGTAGACGCCCATCCTCTCGTCTTAGGGATGCTCTGGAGGGGCTGGAATCCTTGAATCGGGATGTAAAGTCCCAGGCTTATATGCAAAGTCCAAGGCCAGAAATAGAAACCGCAGGCATCTCTTCAGTGAGTCACAAGCCACAAGGGGGGGGGGGACGTGTGGGATTCTCCTGAGTCCATTGTTCTTCTCCGAAGAGACGAGAGTCTGTGTAACCAGACGCTGAAGGGATGTTATTCCAGCTCAGAACTGGGAAGCCGGGCTCATGAGGCACTCTTGAGATCATCTGGACGCTTGAATTCACAGTGCCCTTCATGACATCACGGAGGCAGTTAAGCTCAAGATGGATGGATGGATGAGCTCCAATACCCCACTGCTTCTGTTCCAATGGAGGTTTAAAAGGGGGGTGGGAGAGCTATCACAGGATTCTGGTTGACTTTCTGGGCCCCCTGAAGACATCTGAGGAAGGATGGAAAGGAAAGGAAGGGGGAAGGAAAGAAAGGAGAAAAGAGGAGGAGATTAAATATAGGAGGGCTCCTTGGTGCTCTCGGAGCTCACTTGTTTTCTTGCAGACATTTTATTACCCAAACTAGGTAACGTTATCAGTGCTAGCAACTCCACAATCCTCCCCTCCTCTAACACTGAGGATGCTACCTAGTAGGGTAATGAAATGTCTGCAAGAAAACAAGCAAGCTCAGAGAGGACCAAGGATCTGAGCGACAGATATTCCCCTTGGTTAGACTAAATGTAGGCTTGAGTTAAGTAGAGGTGGGTTAGACATGGTTGCACCGAGAGGCAAGTTTAAGGGGCATCTGGGGAACGTAATTTTCTTGAGCTCTTTCAGTCGACGGAGACTATTTGCAGCTTCTCCCAGGAGCAAATTTAGGTGCACCTGATGATGATGGTGATGCACCATCGAGTTCTCCTTGAACCCTAGTAACCATGTTGGTTTTTTTCTTCAGCCTAGCCTATCTATTTATTGATTCTTAATGATTACAAAGACAGAATTTCTGCCCTTAAACCTGGTCCTTCAGCCACTGTGACCTGGACTCCACCCCCTTTCCTGCTGGTCACCCTCTCCTTCGCTTTCCTTCCACCTTTCCACTTGTCCCTGAGGCTTATAAAGGTAGTCCTCGACTTACAAAGGTTCTTTTGGTGCCTGTTCAAAGTTGCAACGGCACCAAAAAAGGTGACTTATGACTTATTTTTCACATGGTTACAGCATCCCTGCGGTCACATGGTCAGAAGTCAGATGTTTGGGTTACTGACTTACCCGTTGCATTCATAACAGCTGCAGCAGGAAAGGTCATAAAATGGTGCAAAATTCACTTAAGAACTGTCTTGCTTAGCAACAGAAAGTTTGGGCTAAACTGTGGTCATAAGTCGAGGACTGCCTGTACTCCAAAATTTAGGGGAACCTTTGTGAAAACGTCAGTTTCCTTCCTTTATTTCTTTTAGAGCTTTGGGCTTGTAATAAACGTTATCTTAATTTTCAATATTCCACTGGAAATCTGGTTTAGTGAATTGAGCTATTTAGTTACAATTTTAGAAGTTTGCTTCTAGAACATCACACTGAAATGCGCCCAATCAGAAATGTATCTTCTGCCATTGAAAATCTGCATCTGTTCTGTGTTTGTGTTATTCTTTTACAATTCAGCCTTGATATAGAGGATGACGCTTGGGTTTGTTTTCCCTTCTTTCCTCAAGGACTTGCAAGGGGAACAAGGACCTACACGGTCCCTTCCAGCTCTGCTACTCTGAATCTTGCATGTGTTCAAACATGTTACATATTCGCATCCCACAATATCCCCCCAATATTCACTAAAATGAGGTCGGCGGTCAGCAGGGGTGTAAATTGTAAGGTGAAAGGTTGATCAGAGTTCATGAAAGAGATAAACCAGACCCTAATTGGTACTAACACACTTTTTCTTATCTGATAAGTAAATGGAGGGATGGATGGAGAGAGAGAAATACAGATAGACAGACAGACAGACATGGAGAGAGAGAGAACGAGAGAGAGAGAGAGAGAGAGAGAGAGAGAGAGAGAATTTCTTCCTTGATTCAGTTCAGACCCAGCATGGTCACTTTTTCTTATCTTATTTTTTCTTTCTTATGTCCAGCCAGTTTATCTTTTCAATTGAGGAATGTTACAAAGCTATCCCTATATTCCAGTCTGTGATTTGAAAAGAGAGAAAAGGAAGTCAAATTAAAATACAAAGGAACTCGGTTACTTAACAAGTTTTAAAAAGTATCCAGGTCACGTCCACCCCTCTGCATGCCTGGCAGGGTCGGTGCCTCTGAGCCTGGCTCCAGCCAACCCCTCTCTCCCCCCAAGCGAATGGAAACCGTCAGAGACGCGCACGAGCAGCTGTGGGGCAGCCGCGGGGTCTGCTTGGGTCTGCGAGAGCCAGGCCGCGCTCTGCACCTGTGGAAAGAGATCTCTCCCGCATGCCGGGCGAAGCTGGCATGCTTGTCCCGGCAATGGATCGCCCTGTGCTGAGCCAGGAATGCGGCCATCTTGGTCCCCACAGGCTTTATAAATAAACAGGGTTTATTTGTAGTAGAATAATGTCTTGTTTATAATAGAACAATACACTGAATCCTATATACGTGTGGTGTTTTTATGTATATATAAAAATGTATTTTATGACGACTATGATCATGATTTATCACTTATACCTTTTATGTACACCGAGAGCTTATGCACTGAAGACAAATTCCTTGTGTGTCCAATCATACTTGATCTGTAAAGAATTCTATACTTCATATTCTATTCTATTCTTATTCTCTAATCTCTATTTTATTTTCTATTCTTATTTTAATTCTACTCTATTTTATATTATTCTTATTTTACTGTATTCTATTAGATAGATAGATTGATAGATAGATAGATAGATAGATAGATAGATGAGATAGTTTTCGTTCACAGAAACCACGATCTTCTCCTCGAGACCGATCTTGCGAAACTAAGCTCTCCAGCTTTTTTAAGTGGACCCCCCCGCCCCCTCCTCTCTCTCTCACACACACACCCCCTCCGTTCAAGTGTGCAGCTCTGCAGCCTCTCCTGTGGTCCACTCAGAAATTAAAAATCCTGTGCCAACATGTAACACAATCGCCGTCTTCTGGAATTACACTGGCTTTGCTCAGGTTCAAAAGAGGATGGAAAAAAATAAAACAAAACAAGAATGCTGAACTTGGCAACCGACGCAAGAGAAACTCTACCTGCTTTTCTACATGAAGTGCGACTCCAATTGCAAAAACATTCCCCGGGCATCCGAAGCTGCACAACACACAACCTTGAAAAACTCCAGCGGCATTTCCATAAAGACCATGCAGGTGAGTCCTGAGCACCAAACGCTCTTGTGACAATATTGAAATGAGGAGTTAAATCCTACTTAAAAATCAAATGCTTCCCCCCACCACCACCGGCGTGCGTTTTGCTGATATTCAGGAGGCTTTTATATATCCTGGTCTCTGCATGCTTGTCTCTCTTCTCTCTATGCGTTATATAAATACCGCGCGTAGCCAAACCAATCTACATTTAATTTGAGCACGTTATCGTGAATAATTCTGTTTCTGATTGTGGGCTCCGTGGTGCCCTCTGAACTTGGTGGTTTTCTTGCAGACGTTTCGTTACCCAACTAGGTAACATCATCAGTGCTAAGTAACCAAGGATGACACCTAGTTCGGTAACAAAATGTCTGCTAAGAAAGCACCAAGGAGCCCACAGTTCAACCCTGAGCTACAAATATTTTTTCTTCTCTCCCCTCTTTTCTTTTCCTCCCCTTTTTTCTCTTCTCTCGTCAATATTTCTGACTCCACAGCAAGAACTGAAAAGCACAAATGTGGAAGGAAACGGGCACTAACTTTCATTCCTCCCCATTTCAACAGCTGGTTTTCTGCAAGCTCCGAACCCACCAGTGGTGTTTTATGCTCTTCAACGTGGCCCTTTTCCACATTTTGCTCTTCGGGGCCGATCTTGTGGAGGAGTATTTCTTGCAAGCCATTCCCACCACTTACATGGACACCAAAGTCCTCGGAGCTCGGGAAAGAGCCCGGACACTGGACATGTCCTCCATGAAAAGCAACATCTCCAAGGCCTTTGTTATCAGCAACCCAGGAGCCTGCTCCAAGCGAGAGATCTTCCTCCTGGTTCTCATCTTCAGTAGCCCCCAGAACCTGTCCAGGCGCAACGCAATTCGGAAAACATGGGCCAACGTGACCCGCAAGCCAGGTTACACCACCCTGGTCTTGTTTGTGTTGGGCAAGCCACCTTCAGCTACCGCTCAAGTGGAGGTCATCAAGGAATCAGACCAGCAACAGGATCTAATCCAAGGAATCTTTCTCGATACCCCTGAGAATCAGACACTGAAGATCAAGGCGGCCATAGAGTGGACCGTAACGTATTGTCCCGAGGCCAGGTTCATTCTCAAAGTAGACGAGGACATGTTTGCCAACCTCCAAACCTTGGCTGAGTATTTGCTCAACTTAAGAACTCACCCCGAAGACATCTATCTTGGGAGGGTGATCCATCCAAACGCTCCCAACAAAGAATCCCACAACGGCAGTTTCACCACCCTAAGAAAATATCCTGGACGGTACTATCCTGACTACTGCAGTGCTGCGGCCTTGGTCATCTCGCAGGATGTTGCTCGGAAGATCTACGTAACCTCTGCGGGAGTCTCTCCTTCCCTGCCCCCTGGCATTTTCCTGGGCGTCTGTGCACGGGCAGCTGGCGTGGTGCCCATCCACAGCTCCCGGTTTTCTGGGGAAAGGCGTATCTGGTACAACCGATGCTGCTACAAGTATATTTTCACTTCGACTGTGTCAGAGACCAGCCAGCTTCTCCAAGAATGGAAGGAGATGGAAAGCGATGAAGATTGCACGTTACTGGAAACCTATTATGGGCTGGTGTCCTGCAAAATCATGACGTATCTGGATGGGTTGAAGGATTCCAGTGTCAACGCCATTCAGAAAGAGGCTCCGTCTTTTGCAGATTAGAAGAATCAAAATAA